GTTCAGTACTCTTTTCTTTTTTGCTCACTTGCTGATCCTGTTTCTTCTGTTTTCTTAGCTTTTGAAGGTATTTTCACTATCATTGAGCCTGCCATATAGTGCTGTCCTGTTAAAACATTTTGCAGGTCAGTAAATCTTACCTTTTGGTTTCTCTTATCTCTAATTTGTTCTTCATCTTGAACTGATCCATTTGCTAACAACCATGCATTCTGTCTTCTTGCAGTTAATGTTTAGTCCTTTCTCCTCACTTTCTTTTAATGTTTAGTCCTTTCTCCTCACTTTCTTTTAATGTTTAGTCTCTTCTTCATCTCTTTTAATGTTTGTCCTTTTCTCCTGTGAGGAATGTTTAGTCCTTTCTCCCTCAGCACTCTTTTCTTTGTTTCTGTTGCTTTCTCCTCTTCTTCATCTTTTAATGTTTAGTCCTTTCTCCTCACTGCCATTTAATGTTTAGGAGGACTGATCATTACATTTAATGTTTAGTCCTTTCTCCTCACTTTCTTTTAATGTTTAGTCCTTTCTCCTCACTTTCTTTTAATGTTTAGTCCTTTCTCCTCACTTTTCCTTCTGGAGGAGTTCTTTTGCTATCTGTGTGAGCCTTCAACACAGTGAATAATCCTCTTGTTAAAACATTTAATGACAATTTAAAAGAATACCTGTTTTTAATATTTAAAAAAGAAAATGTTTATCTCTAATTTTTTTTTTCTTTTTGTTGAACTGATCCAATTGGGACAGGCACTAGATTCTTTCTTCTTGGCAGTTAATGTTTAGTCCTTTCTCCTCACTTTTCTTTTTTAATGTTTTGACCCTTTTCTCCAGAGGATCTCCTTACTTTTCCTTCTGGAGGAAGCCAATGGTAAGGTACTTTCTTTGTTTTGTCAACACTGTGAATAATCAAAATCTAAAAATATTTAATTTTTTGAGGAGTCTTTTTTGACAATTTATTTTGATACAAAAAACTATCTTTTGCAACAAATGTCTCCATTTAATATTTAAAAAAAGAAAATGTTTATATTTTATTATTTTTTTTTGCATTCCTATAGTAAAAAATTAGCAAACAATGTGGGACAGGCACTATAATAGCCCTTCATTCAATGGCATTCATGCTTGGGATTTATTCCCCCCACTGACCACCCCACTTCCTGATTTTCAATGCTCTAAAGCCAAAATCATTAGCAATGCATTTGCCATTATACATATAATAGCCAATTCTATCAGTCATGCTTGCATTTATTTTGACCATTGACAATATTTTCAAAATCTGAATTATCATTATTTTTTGCATATTTGACAATATTTTGTATACATATATTAACCATATTCTATCAGTAATGCTTGCATTCATTCCTGACCACTGATAATCCCTTTCTTCCTGATTTTTCAATGCATTCCTATAGTAAAATCATTAGCAATGCATTTACATTATACATATAATAGCCCTATTCTATCAGTAATGCTTGCATTCATTCCTGACCACTGACAATCCCTTTCTTCCTGATTTTCAATGCATTCCTATAGTAAAATCATTAGCAATGCATTTACATTATACATATAATAGCCCTATTCTATCAGTAATGCTTGCATTCATTCCTGACCATTGACAATCCTTTTCTTCCTCATTTTCATTGCATTCCTATAGTAAAATCATTAGCAATGCATTTACATTATACATATAATAGCCCTATTCTATCAGTAATGCTTGCATTCATTCCTGACCACTGACAATCCAACAATTGGAACAGTGGAGTGTCTGATTATTTTTTGGACATTTCTTAGGCCATGACACTTGTTAGAATAAAAAAAATATTGATTTTAGATGGTGAGTCCTGTTTATAACATCAATACAGTGTCAAATCGATCCCTGACTTTTACACAATTATTGGACAACTTTTTTTGAGGTGGGGTTACCAAATGATTTCTTTGAAATAACAAACAGATATATACATATTTTTACTTAATGAACAGAAATTTACATAAAACCATATCTATATTGCTTCAGATGCCCTCTTGATCTGAGAATAGATTGTCTAGCATTCACTACCATATGGGATATTTCAGTACTAATTAAATAGACTGTTTCACTCATAAGAAAACATGGAAAACCTTTGGGGATAAATAGCTGTTATTTAGAAATGTCAAATTTGAAAATGTGCTGACATCATTTATATCTGCATATTTTTAAAATTTTCTATTTTAATATTTTTTTTTTTTTTTTTTTAAACATTTTGTCTAACTTTTTTGTATGGAATTTTATCTGAAGCACATGCACAAACATGTGAGGTTCATAATTATTTATCTTAAAGAAGAATAAACAGATACATAATTTTATTAATTTACTAGCATAAAAGCTCCACCCCTTGCAGACTTTTATATGAGGAGGGCTAATTGGGCTTCTGGCCTAAAACTAAAAGGACTTCTGGTCCAGTTTAGAAAACAGCAATGACAATTTTGAAGAAATAACTTTGAATTCCTCAATTCATTCTATGGAACTTCAAAATGTCACTTTTACTCTGATTCGGGCTATAAGTCCAGTTCTGGCTCAAAGAAAAATTTGGTTCAAAAGTCGAATATAGACCAAAAATTGAATTCTGCAAATAACAAGTTGCATAGAATTTGAACTGAGTTGAGTTCTTCAAATCATAAACTCTGCAGAACTTCAAAACCTTACATCAACTCTGATTCCTTGGCATTTTGAAGAAATAAGAAATAAAATTGATTTCCTCAATCCATAAAGTTTTGGACATATTTTAAACTGAAGTTAAAACAAGAATTTTTAAATTCACAAAGTTTTCATTTTACTTTAAACTCAATGTAAATTGAAAAATGAAAATCAATAATTTTTTTCAGTTATTTTAAAATTTGAATTTTTAACTGTTCTCTCCTCATCCAGAAATCCCAATGCTGGATTTTCAATCCCAGGATCATCCTGGTTTCAAAAAGGTATAATATGTCTATGTAGATCAAGTGTATCCCAAAGGAGTTTCAGAATCACAGACAGAATTTTCCATTCATTTATTTAGAAGTAAATTTTCATTCTATACTTAAAACTTAAATAATACATGTGGGATAGATATCTGTTGACCCTGGACTTAAAGAGACAAAGATTGCAGGTTGTCAGGGAAGCATCCTCTTGGGAGTTTATTCCACAAAATAATTGATCTGGAGAAGGAGTTGTCTGATTAGAACTTACTCCTTATCAAAGCAACATGAAAGGTAATAGAGATGCTTTGCCACCATGAACACAGCATAGCAAGCCCTAACTTTTTTTTTTTTACATATATATATTGTTAGTTTACCCAATACAAGACCCAGGAGCCGCTCAAGCTAGAGGGTTATTGGGCAAGTTTGTTATAGGGGAGGGAAAAGGAGGATTTAAGAAGTGCATATAAACAGAGCATGTAAAATAAGTAATGGGTGACCATAGACTTAAAGAAAGCAAAATTGCAATTTGTCAGGGAAGCACCCTCTCAGGAGTTTGTTCCACAGACTAACAGTTCTGGAGAAGTTGTCTGATTGTAACTTGCTCCTTAGCAAAGGAACATGAAAAGGAATGGGGATGGTTTGCTACTGTCAATACATCATGGCAAGCCCTAGATTTTTTTTTAAAATATATATATATATATATATATATATATTGTTAGTTGACCTAATACAAGGCCCAGGAGCCCTTCAAGGTAGTGTTAGTAGGCAAGATTGTTGTTGAGAAGGAGAAAGTGGGGATTTAAGAAGTGAACATTACAAGGATGTGTAGGATAAGTATCGGTTGAACATAGACTTAAAAAAACCAAGATTTCAGTTTGTCAGGGAAGCATTCACTTGGGAGTTTGTTCCACAAACTAATAGTTCTGGAGCAGAAGCTGTCTGATTGGAACCTGCTCTTTATCAAAGGAACATGAAAGGGAATGGTTTGCTACCATCAATACATCATGGCAAGCTTTAGCTTTTTTTTTTTTAATATGTATATTGTTAGTTCACCCAATACAAGACTCAGGAGCCACTCAAGGTAGATAGTTACTGAGCAAGATTATTGGCGAGGAGTGGATGTCGGTATTTAAAAAGTGTACATTAAGAGGACATGTAGAATAAGTATCGGTTGACCATAGACTTAAAGTAAACAAGATTGCAGTTTATCAGGGAAGCACCCTCTCAAGAGTTTATTCCACAAAGTAACTGTTCTGTGTAAGAAGCTGTCTGATTGGAACTTGCTCCTTATCAAAGGAACATTAAAGGGCATGCAGATGGTTTGCCATTGTGAACATGGCATGATGCGTCCTAGCCGTGAAGGTCTGAACTCATAGGTTCAAGGAATGCAACTCTTCTAAACATCTGCCATGGTAACGATAGATTAGAGAGAGGCTAGAAACATTTTGTCTTTGGGATAAGGGTTTTAGAATGGAGAATAATTTATCACCCACAAAGCCGTGCGTAAACACTTTTGAACGTTATTGATTTGAGACGAGGCTGAACAGTGAGAATTGGGCAACATCAGATGATATTTGCAGACAGAGACACAACTGAGAGATGAAATGTAGTTAATCCTCCCGAGGACAGATACTACACTTTGATCCCAGCCAGGGAGTAAAGAAAAGCACAACTTGTGTAATACTGGCTGTTTGGCTGAATTCTAAATGTTACCTTATAAGGAAACGGCTACTATTACCATTATCATTAAATGAGGAAAACAGATACTACACTTTGATCCCATCCTGGTGGCCAGGGAGTGAAGCGTAATTGAAGTAGGACTGGCTGTTCGGTCAATGAATGCCGAATGTTTCCTTGTAAGGAATCCGCTACTTTCACTCAAATTCCAGAGAAAAAGACTTGTAATACCAAGGGAGATAATCAAATTCGAGTTTCACGCATGTACAAAGAGTTACCTTTCTTGAAAATTATTAGCTTTTAAATAAATTGTTAAAAAACAAGTATTATGTCTTGGAAAAAATAAATTACGTATTTATATCGAATTAATTTTTTGTTATGTCATATCCCTTTAGAAAGTAGGCATACGGCCATATCACGTTGGAACATCGGTTCTCGTAAGATCACTGAAGTTAAGCAACGTCAAGCCAGATCAATACCTAGATGGATGACCACTTGGAAATACCAGGTGCTGTAAGCTTGGATGTGCAGATAGTGTAATACACAGGGGCTCGGAATGAGAAGTCAGAAAGCTGAGTTTGAATTCCATTTGGGTTCATTACATTCACTTAAGCTCAAATCCACCTCTTCTCCCCCATTCTATGGGTTGAAATAGTAACACTTGTATCTGAACATCATTATTATCTTCAAGAAATTGTTAATACAATATTCACTCAAAAAATATATATATATATATATTCTTAGTATCCCAAAATATGTTTCAGCTTTAAGTAACCTACAAAAGGTTGATAAACCATAAAAAACAAATCAGTTCAAATCCTTTAGATTCCTTTACTACCTGCAATTTGCCATAATTTCCTGAGAATAATAATGGAGTGTTTTCTGTTGCCTTCTCTACAGTTTGAAAGTTAAATGGGGTTGCCTGTTAAAGCTAGAAAGCCTAGTTTACCTTGCTATTTAACTCATAGCTGGGACTTAGAATATTACTTTTTTTACAGTCATATTCATCCTGTACCAGGCCAAAGAACCACTCAAGGTAGAGGGTTACCAAGTAAGAGGCACAGTTTATAGGGAAATATGGGAAAGATAATGTTTGAACAAGTTAGATTGTATTGATCAGGGAGGCATCATCTTGGGAGCCAGTTCCACAAACGTAATTTATTATTATTATAAGTTAAAGATGACTTTTATTTTGATATACCGGATGTAACAGCAAAATTGTTCAATTGTTAGATTAAGATTTGAATCGTTGTATCTTAGAAATGATTTAAAGGTATCTTACTGGAATTTTTTGAGGATTTTATAACCCTGTTGAACTCTACTTTGAGCAATAAGACTTTATAATTACTCCCCAAGCTTTAACAGAAGAATCATGATGAAATCAATCATAAAAAAAAAAGACATGTTCATCATTAATTAATCATAGCTAAGGATCAGAAACTCATGAAGGATTAAAATTTAATTCAAATATATATATATATATATATATATATATATATATTAATCCAGGATCATTTTAGAGATGAGATTTTGCCATTAATTACATTAATATTACTAATTAATTTTTTGTATGTTTACCTTCTTATAAAATATATACTGCCCAAAAACACACACACACACATATATATATATATATATATATATATATATATATATATATATATATATATATATAGAGAGAGAGAGAGAGAGAGAATATACTCAGTGGATTTTTACAGAATTATTGTTTGTCTGTAGTAAGGAAACAAAAAAGGAAGGTCATAAGAGAGAAAATGACAAAGGGCAAGAAAGAGTGAGAGAGAGATAAAGATAGAGTAAGGCATAGTAAGAGAGAGGGACATTAGAGTGGGAGGGAGAGAAAAGGGGGCAGTGGTAGGGGATGTTTTTTTGTGTGTCTACGTAAGGGTCTCGTATTTAGAGGATTAACGTCGGGTTTGTAGCAAAGGTTAAATTGAGTGATTTCGCACTCTCCCATGTCATGTCTTCTTTGTTTTTCTGACTGTGTTGTCAAAATGTATTTGACTACAGGAAAGATGGAAGGCCCAGAAGAAAAACATTGATACATCATAAAACTAACTTGTCGTCAAAAGTGTATTGATATATATATATATATATATATATATATTACATTCACTTACATGCTAATACCCTTGGGAAAGGTGTGAATCCTCTTCTTCTCCCTCCAGCTATGGGTAAATAGCAGGACAGACTGGGTTCTATAGCCTTGGATGGCAACTGGTCTAGGAGAAGGACAACTCTGAATTCAAAACCTGCGGAGGGTTGTTTGGGGACCTTGTGGCACTTAGTGCACCAGGTCTCTGTATTCGGCCCTTCAAAAAGTGTGGCTGGTCCTGCACAAAACCTTCCACACTATAATCAAATCTCATGTGCTGTTTTTTGGACTGTCGGTTTCCTGGGAACTGATCTGCTTGACCCTCATATGTCAAATTCGACGGGAGAGTCAACAACTATATATATATATATATACCAGGTGTAACAGCAAAATTGTCCAATTGTTAGATTAAACTCTGAACCATTGTATCTGAGAAATGATTAAAGATATCTTACTGGAATTCTCTGTGGTTTTTATAACACTATTAGACTCTACTTTGAGCAGTAAGAATGTATAACTGCTCGCCAAACTTAATAGAAGAATTGTGATAAAATTGATCATAAATGAAAATGACATGTTCATTTTTAATTAATCATAGCTAAGGATTGGAAGCTCATGACTATCTTTATCACAACTTATCCTAACTTACTTTTGAATAATAAAAAAAAAAAACACCACTTCCAAAATGGACCAGAAAAAGAAACTCAATTCCACTTCCTGTGTTTAGCCGAAACTCAAACGATGAAGTACAAACTTTACTTTATTCATTCCAACTCAGCACAAGGATGACTTGAGATTGACCATTATAACCATGCTTATCATTACTTACCCTAACTTACTTCTGGACCAGAAGAAGAAAACGGACATGCCCAAGAAACATTGAGAATTTTGTTTCCCTACATCACTACTGTTACCAGGTGTAACAGCAAAATTGTCAATCTGTATCTTAGAAATGATTAAAGATATCTTACTGGAATTCTCAGGGATTTTTATAATACTATTGGGCTCTACTTTGAATAGTAAGAATGTATTTAGCTCTAAGTTGAAATTATGATCCGTCTTGCTGTTTCTTTAATCTATGGGGCTAAACTGTTCTTGTTCTGTTGCCCGTGTCTAGGGATATCTCGTCTAGTTCTTATTTTTTTAGTACTGCTCAGTTATTGCTCACCCTGTTTCCACTGACTCCAAGTATACACTTCCTAGCCCAGGGATTGAACTCACATTAATCCTAGTGGATTAAAATCCTTGGTTCATGAATTTGGTGACATAATGATTATGAGTTCAATCCCCAGGCCAGGTAGTGTGTATCGGTTATTGCTTGCACTATTTCTACTTAGTCTAAGTCTTCCCAGAGCTTGAACTCAAAATTTGTCATCAAATTCACAAAGCAATGCTTTTATCTACTAGTCTATTGACCAGGAGGTTTTGAGGAGCATGGAACCACTTCTCGATTGCTGGTGTTCCCAGATCCACCTTTACCCAGTGTGGTAGCACCTGTTAGGGTCCCAGCTATGGGCAAATAGTTGACCCCCACCTTGCTCAAACTGGGGTCAAAACACTATGAAAGTGTAAAAATAGGTTTTAATACCAGCAATACATTTTTGTAAAAACAATGAATTTCTTAAGAAAAAAATATTACCAGCAATATATTTTTGGAAAAAAAAATATTACCAGCAATAAAAATCTTGTTGGCATTAAATAACTCAATAAGGCTGATATGCCATAAACCAAATCAAAGCAAACCAAACCAAACCAAACCCTGGCCTGGGCGGTGTGTACTTAGACTTACTGGAAACAGGTTGAGTGAAAACTGAGCAGTACTAAATAAAAATGATATGAAATATCTCTAGACATAGGAAATGGAATGAGAACAAACAATTGTTTTAATCCTCATCTGTTTCAATCGTCGGAGGGGGAGGACTCATTATCCTTTCAGAAAGCTTAGCAGCAACTATCTCTTCCCCAAGCTCTTGTCCGACAGCCAAAGACTATGGAATACATGTGGATTGCCCTCAGTCTGTACACAAGGCCTTCAGATTTTGAATTCAGAGTTGTCCTTCTCCTACACCGGTTGCCACTCAAGGCTATAGGAACCAGTCTGTCCTGCTATTTTACCCATAGCTGGAGGGAGAAGAAATGGATTCATGCCTTTTCCAAGGGTATTAGCATGTAAGTGAAATATAATGAACTGGGCTTGAATTTGAAGTCAGCTCTCCAATTCCTCAATTTAAGACACTATTCATTACACTACCATGCTTTGTGCGAATAATCTACCGCCATAGATTAAATAAAGAGTTCACTTTGTAATTCTGCCTGGCTATTGATTGTGGGATATAGGGTGAGCTATAACTGAGCTGTACTAAAAATAAGAACTAGACGAGATACTCCTAGACATGGCCAGCAGAACAAGAATAATCTACCTCTGTAAATTAAAGTTTTCAGTTTGGAATGGAGATAAAAGGGAGATCACCGCCCTCTGTGGGATCAGGTTGAAATCATAGACAAAGAACATCATTGGAAAATTCATAAACTTAAGGAATCAGCACATTTGCTAGGCCACAAAAATCTCCTGAGCCGACCAAGCATAGAAATGTATACAATATGGGAACCAGTAATAAGGAGTGCCAGAGAAAAACAATAATAACAACAAAAATTGCAATATGAGCTCTGGTAAAAAATATGCAATTATAACAGCAAAAATTGCAATATGAGCACCAGTAAAAATGGTTGCTGAAGACATTAAGTTTATAAGTCCCAGAAATTCATACACAGATCTACACATGGCACAGTGGATAAAGGCGTTGGTTAGATCCAGTGACAGGACCCAAAGAGTGTGAGTTCAATACCTGGTTAAGGCAGTGGAGAAATTTCAGAGGGGAATTAACAGGAGATAACTGATATCCATTTGACATGGCATGTAGAACTAGAACAGTCTACCCCAGCAAGCGAAATACATTCCAAGAAACGTTGTGATAAATATGGTAACAAAGATGAGGACAATAGTCCAAATGATGTAAATAGTGTAAATAATACTTCATCTCAGCAATCTAGACCAATACTGAAGAATAATCTACCTCTGTAAATTAAATAAAGGGTTCAGTTCCTGTAGGTTACTTGGATTGATATACATCTGATGAAGGCCATAGTAGAGGGCACAACAACTGAAAAGTTGTGATAATAGGACAATAGTCCACATGTAAATAATAATGCAAATAACAGACAGGAAGTTGTAGAGAGCCATGATTGCTCACATCCTGAAAGGACATGGCATACAAAAGACGAATGTTTGTGTCAATGTTTTATAGGCAGGCCATTGAATTTTTGGAATAGAATTCTTTCATTTTTCTCTTGTAAAGGTCGACCAACATTTTTGAGAGTAGCAAAACAAGTTTGGGTAATAGAGAC